GCCTTTCATTCAAGAAAATTCTCAGCAGCAGAAATCAATTATGAGATCCACGACAAAGAACTTCTTGCAATCATGGATTCTTTTGAAGAATGGCATCATTATCTAGAAGGCACTTCCAGTCCAGTCACCGTATATACGGATCATAAGAACCTCGAGTATTTTATGTCAGCACGCATATTAAATCGTCGTCAAGTTCATTGGAGCATGTCTTTATGAAGATTCGAGTTCATCATCACTTATCACCTAGGAAAACAACAAGGTTTGTCTGATGCCTTGTTTAGATGTTCTTATCTTGCATCAAAAGAAGAAAATGTAGCTTTTGAGCAACAAAAACAGTTCTCTTGAAGCCGAAGCAATTTCATCTTCGAGCAATAAAATCAACATTGACTGTTGATTTAACTTTTCTTAAGTAAGTCCAGTTAAGTATGTCTTCAGACCCTCTTGTTTATGATATCAAGAATAATTCTTCTAAATCTCATGATCCCTCTAAATTTGAATTTAAGAACAACCTACTCTATTTCGAAGGACGCCTATATGTTCCAGAAGGAGAAGCATGTTTACGTGTTCTTCAAGCTCGTCACGACTTCCCAGCAGCAGGTCATTTTGGATATAATAAGACTTTGGAGCTGATATCTAGGGATTTTTGGTGGCCTCAAATGTGAAAGGTAGTCAAAGATTTTGTACAATCATGTGATATTTGCTCAAGATCAAAAACTCCTCGTCATCGACCTTTTGGACTTCTTCAGCCATTATCCATTCCAGAACAACCATGGTCTTCTATTTCTATGGACTTCATCACGAATCTTCTAATCTCAGATTCTTATGATTCTATATTCGTGATAGTAGATCATTTTATCAAGATGGCACATTTTGTACCATGTACAAAATCTATCACAGGTGAAGAAACAGCTAAGCTCTTTCTTGACAATATCTATCGCTATCATGGATTATCCAAGGATATTATATCAGATAAGAGAACTCAATTTATATCAAGATTTTGGCACTCTTTTCAAGATTCTAAAAATGGATATAAAACTATCTTCGGCATTCCGTCCTCAAACTGATGGACAAACGGAGCGTGTTAATCAAGTTTTGGAGCAATATTTAAGATGTACCATTAATTACCAACAAGATGATTGGACAACTCTTTTGCCATTGGGAGACTTTGCTTACAATAACATAGTACATTCTTCTACAAAACAAACACCTTTCTTTGCTAATTATGATTACCATCCATGACTTGATACTTTTGACTTTTCAAAAGTTGATAATCCTACTAGGAAAGATTTGGCGATTCATTTATCAAAGCTACATGCAACGATGAAGGCATAGTTAAAAGAGGCTCAAGAACAACAAAAGATCAATGTGGATGTCTATCAAAAGAAACAACCACCATTCCTCTTGGGTGATAAGGTATGGCTACTTCATCGTAATATCAAGACCACTCATCCTTGTGACAAGTTGGACTATCGAAGGCCTAGACCATTTTCTATTTCTGCACAAATCAATCCAGTTGCATATCGTTTACATCTATCGGAGTCAATGAAAATCCATCCAGTATTCTACTTGTCTCTTTTTGAACCATACGAGATAGTGGACATACCAAGAAGACGACAAGCTCCACCTCGTCCTATAGAAGTGAACAATAATAAAGAGTTTGAAATAGAAGAAGTCTTAGATTCAAGGCGATGCCGAAATAAATTGGAATATCTTGTCCATTAGTACGGATATGATATTAGTGAATGCACATGGGAGCCAATAAAGAATCTTGTAAATGCAGCAAAGGTGGTGGAGGCTTTTCATCGACGACATCCATCAAAATCAAGATAAAAACCTTCTTTATAAAAGAAACAACATCTAGGCAAGATAACATTCTACTTTCAATTCTTGTTTGTAGCTTCGTTGTAGTAGTGGCGCTCAGGAGATGGAGAACCAACAACCAGCAGATTCAACTCAAGAGCCTTCATTTCCTGACCTGCCCGATGAGATATTACGATTGTCACAACCTTCAAGACGATGCAATCGAGATAAAAATCCTCAAGAATGACATGTTCTTTGTCGAATAGATGGTGAGATACAACGCGTTTGGTATCACGATTTGGGAAGGGACTCTCGATGTTTGGTGATTTTGCTAGAGGTAGGAACAACTCCTGATGGTGTTCCAAATGTTCTATTCGAAAAAAGTTATGAAGGCCTCAACAATGATCAAATAACTAGGTGGTCTTCCTGCCCTGGTATAGGACACTACCGATGGTTGAGAGGCCCTATCAATCATCTTCGAAGAGAACAAAGATCAGAGTATGTAGCAAATACAATTCGTCACATCATAGATTTTTTCAACATATGATGACTGCTCTTCATGGAACTCGTCCCTAGAAGACGAGGTAATGTCACGGACATACTCATATAAGCTAGTAATTACATATACAAATAGGTGGAAGTAAGTAAAAGTAGTTAAAAGTAAGTTAATTCTATAATATTTAATATGGAAGCTTCTTAGAGGCTTATAGATACTGCTTTGACTTTATAGATGTCTTTAATTGACTTTTTGGATTAGAAACGTGGTCAACAAGTTAGCCATGTGCCACACATATTGTTAGCTTGAAGATCAAGCTAACTATGTGGCCCACACGTAGAAAAACTTGCCTTGTAAGTCAAGGCATGTGTCCTACAAAGTCAACACATATTGGAGGTCCTATAGAACATCACCACATAGTCTTTAGTTAGATAGTATATATAGAGACAAGAGTGAAGCCTTCTTCACTCTTGTCAACTCTTTTCTTACTTCCAGTCTAGTTTTAAGGGTCTCTAGTTTTCTTATCTTTTGGCAATAGCCATTTCAGTTTTTTTTTCAATATACATACTTGTTTATTTATATTTTGTTACCTTTCTTTAAGTGAAGGCTCACTTGTCTGAATTGCTTTTTCATCGAGTTCTTGTCCTTGACACTTAGTTGTAGAAGAATTTTGAAGGCACAATCAAACCAATTATGAACATCATTTGCTATTAACTACCTTTATTTACTAATGTCATATTGGCAAAATAAACTATTTATAATACCATCATTCTTTGTAGTTTAGTAAACAAAGTCCTTAACATTCCACTTCTTATGAATGTGGTTTAAAATAAAATAATAAAATAATAATTATCTAACTTGCAATGATTATTCATGCATGTCTACTATTTGATTTAATCCAAAGTTAATTTGAGAAGTTTATAAATTAAACTAAACAAAAAGTGTGATTATTTTTTTCTCTTTTCTTTTTTCTTTTTTTTTCTGAATTGTGGAATTAAAAATCATGTGGTCCATCATTGCTACTAAGATGCCCAAACATTTTATTTTTTATTTTTTTAAGCAACAATGTGAGATGTTGTGTAACATAAAAGAAGAATCTTGCATCTTATTTAATTTTTTATAATAAAACCAAACTCTTTTATAAACTAAAAAATATATATAAAAATTCAAAAATTAAAATAATAATAATAATAATAATAATAATAATAACTACCTTAAATCTAACACACCTCAAAATTTCAAACTACATAATTATTACTTAATCTCAAAGATTAGGAATTGTTCCTAAAACAAACTCTAGTTTTCTATGTTACATACAAATTCTTACAATTCAAGCATGAAATTCAAGAAACCCAAAAGTTGAAAAACTTTGAATTTAAAATTTTAAAAATCCAATGCATTAATTATAGCATCATGTATATGTACTTATATCTTCTGTGCCTACTTGTAGCATAAAGGTGGCCAACAATGGCTATTGCAAAGTTAAGCAATGTAACCAATGTAAAACATGTAAGAGTGTTTAATGTTTTGTTTGCCTTCTGTTTTATCCATTATGATGCCAATTGTGTAGGATTTAAATCTTATGTTGCTTAATGTTGAAAATTCATAAAATGACTTTTGGTCATAGCAGCATGCAAGTGGGCAACACTAGAATAGAGTCACAATCACACATAATTACTTGCTTACACCAAATTGTGAATGTTGCAACTTAATGGTTTGTGCAATTGTATATTTTGGTTCATATATTATGTTGAAATTTGATGACAACAACACTAAATCATAAAGATGACAATTGGGAATCTGGTTATAGTACAATCTTCTTAAGTTATATACTCCAAACAATTGTCTAGTGGATGAAACCAAGAATGGATAGATAGATGAACAGATAGACACATTAATAGATATATGGCATTTGGATGGATAAAAAATATACAAACATACACCAAAAACTTTAATATAAAAATAGCTTGCGCCTTGGAAGGGATATACTAGTCACTTGATAAGAGTCTTACTACTTATAACAGTTACTACTTTGACTGTTATAAGTAGTAAGATCGTATACAAAAAATTATCATAAAATTAAACTATCATAGAGTCAATTAATAATTTCTACAATATATAAAACATAGTTTTTATTATTTCAAACACATCATTTATTTTAATAAAACACACAACTCAATATCATTTATAAGAGTAGAAAACCAAAAAATGAAAATCCAAATATTTTTAGGGAATTATTAAGAATATATTTAGTTTTAAAAAATTAAAATTAAACAATTACATAATTTTAAGATATGTATATTACAATAAAACAATATTTGTAAAATTCGGAGAATTGATTTTGTTCTAAAACGCATGTACATTTCTCTCTGTCTACTCACACGTGCATTAGGGAAAATATAATGATATATGTGAAAATTCATCAAAAAGATAGAATTCATAGGAATAATACAATCTCAGCTGGTTTTCCACGCACATGATTCTAGAATTCCAGGGCTGCTGCTGCTGCTGCTGGGCATCTGTGCCATGTAGCGAGAAACAGAGACGGTTTCCATTCAGTCTGCCGCTGATACTTTGAACGGTGACGCCGCCACCTGTGCATTAACGAACCACGGAATGCCACGCATCACGAAGTGACGTAGCAGGGCGGGAAGCAACGTCATTCCGCGTCTTCGAAGGGCGGAGCAGCGGCGAAGGAAGGCACGCACGCACGCTGTGGTGCTGGTGCTGGTGGGTGCGTGATTGAGTGTGTGAGTGAGTGAGGGAGTGAGTGAGAGAGCGAGACAGAGCCCCGGAGGTTGAGAGGAGGTTTAGGGACGGCATCGAAGGAAGGGGGGACGCATCATCGATTGATTGAGTGGGTTCGGCAGAGTTTTTGTGGGATCTGATCGGGCTTGCTTGCTGTTGGGGAGCGCAACAGATTCGTGTTCATTCTAGGGATTGCGCTCGTGCGTGAAGGTATGCTGCTTTGCTTGGATGGTTTGGGCCTTTGGTTTGGTAAGCGTAGGTCTTCGTGAGGTCTAGACTGAGAGGTGTCGCGATTGTTTTTTTTTTTTTTTTTTTTTTTGTTATTTTGTTTTTTTTGTTGTTGTTGTTTTGAGCGGTTTTGCAAGCAGCTATAATCGAGAAGGTTTCTTTTCTGCAGTGATTGCATACGAGCATCACGGTCGTCCCCTCAAAAAATTACTTTTTGTGTGAGTACAGGGAGAGGGATCGGTCGTTATTGAACTTGTGGTGTTCTCATGGACACTCAAGTTCGGATTTTTGAACTTATCGCTAATTTCGCCTGGGATGGCGCTTATGTGTGTCGTCATGGACCTTGCAGCACAAATTTCGTGTGATATCCAAGTAGCGTCACAGGCGTTCGGGCTGCACGATTCATATTGTTTCTTATGAGTTGTTTAGCCTCATGTGGCGTTTCATTGTGGTGGTGTGACAAGGGTCTGGCTTCTGTGGAATGCTTTTGATTTTCTGAGTTTACCTTTTTCTGTTTTGTCATTCTCTAGGGTTTTTTTTGTCCGCTGGGTATCTATCATCACCGATGGCCTGGCAACCCGGCCCTGGCTTTGAACAGTACAGTGCGCAACCCGGGATGCATCCAGGGATGCAAGGCTCTTCGCCTCAAGTTCCAACGGGACCAAATAATCCATTGAACGACGTCTTTTATGGTGCCGCCCCTGGATTGTTGGGTGCATATCTGGGGAATAGCAAAGACTATGTACAGAGCAACGTAAGTCGGGCTCTGATCTTTCAGCTCCCATTATACAGATTCTTGCTGCTGGTGTGGGTTTATGATTGTTCTATTTCATTTGAGATCGAGAAATTAGTGCTAAGATAGAGCTTGGAATGTTGATTTAGTTCGATGTGATCTATAGGTTAGCAGGTATTTTGCTTCTCATGACATCCAGTACTATTTCCAAGTGACTGATCAATACGTTAGGAACAAGCTCAAAGTGGTCCTCTGCCCCTTCCTTCATAAGGTATTCTCCTACTTGTTAAGTTGTCCTGTCATCATGATTCTACGTCAGCGGACAGAAATTCACTGGAAGCGTCGTCAAAAAGATTAGGTCGTGCTTTTTATCGTTTGTTCTCCACGCTAAAAGAAATTTTTTCATTTGTTTTTGAGTAGGGACATTGGACTAGAATAGCAGAGCAAGTGGCTGGAGGTTTGAAATACAAGCCTCCTCGACATGACATCAATGCCCCGGACCTCTATCTTCCAATCATGGCACTCGTAACATACATCTTGCTCAGTGGTTTTTTGCTGGGCATGGCGGGCAAGTATGCAACTTCGCATGATTACCATATGCGTCTTAGTTTGCTAAGTAAGCTGAGGCAGTTCGATGAAGGATACGATGCTGGTACCTGGTTTGGAAGTACATGTGTTCTGAATGGACCCCGAATTACGTTTGTTGATATATAGTCGTTTGATTTCAATTATGCAGTTTTCATCCACTCATGCGTAAAACATGGGCGTCTCTTTTTGCTTGTATTACAGGTTCAAACCAGAGGCGATGAGTGGATTAGTTACAAAAGCAACGATCGGGTGGATAATAGAAACGATAATGTTGAAGGCATCACTTTTCGCCTTAGGGAGCGGGGATGCTCCAACGTTAGATGTTGTAGCTTATGCAGGTTACGCTTTCATTGGTGTTTCTTTGTCTTTAGTTGTACGGCTGTTATCGCCGTACGCTTTTCACATCACATGGGCGTACACAAGTCTCTGCATGGCGAGCTTTCTAGTGAAAACGATGAAACGATTGTTGTTTGCGGAGGTAAGGAGGTACGATAGAGATTCAACTCGACACCATTATCTACTTCTTCTTATGGCTGTGGCCCAGTTTCCTTTATTTTATTGGTTAGTGCATGTGAGATAAGGTCAATTGGCCTCCTGTACAATACAACTTCAAACAGTGTGATTTGTCCTTTCTAGGTGTAGTAAAATTTGCCTTAGGACACGTTGAAGCAGACTTTTTATAAGTAATCTGACGGATTGTTTTCTGCTTTAAGCTAGTATTCAGAACTTGGGGTTCTGTTGTTCATAGAAATTGTACTCTTCGGGGGTATCGGATGTTCAGCCTAACAAACGATTTATGTAAGAGAAATTGAACATTATGGTTTTCAAAGAATTAAGTTTGTCATGTGAAACATAAAATGGTTGGGTGTTTTATTTACATATGTGTATATGGTATGTTAAAGAAAATACTGTATACGTGTATACTTCCATGTTGGTAATTCAATCATCTAGTTTGAATTTGTTTTCTCTTGTTTTGAAAATATGTATAGTTTTAGTTGTGTTTTGTCAAACATATTTCCTCTGTCCCTAATCTTTAGGACTGAATAAACTTGATTTTGTCACAATCTTTGATTAGTTAGTGGTCTGGATCAGGCAGTGAGATGACATTTCTGACTAGTCGTGAGATCAACAGCGCTGCTTATACCCTGGGAAATTCGGTTCACAAGTCAAACTTAAGTTATTGTGTGACGCCCCTTTAGAGCAGCATCTTCAAATCTGTTCCTAATCATGCTCTTTCATTTGAAACGTTCAATTACTTTCACTAGTTTTGTTTTTGTTTGCAATATTGAAATAAGGGCAATCCGAAAGAGTTGACAAGAATTTGCGAAGGACCTTGTATTGCCCTAAGCAAGTTACTTGCCAGCTGTCAATACAATCTGGCCCAGGTTTTGTCAACTCAAAAGCTGTTGATGGCAGAATTTCGATGAGTTAGGTGCTTTGTTCACAGAACGTCAGGGTTTCTACCAAAACTCCCTCATTTGAGATTCATGAAGGCTGCCTGCGACGGTGTAGCAGTGCGTCAGGTGTGAAAAGGTAATTTTTTTTTAATCTCATATGGTAAAATTTAGACTTTTTTCCAAGAATAATCCGTCAGACAATTTGGATTTTTTATTGTAATTTATTTCTCAATTTACAATCTAGAATATAAGAACATAAAATTTGTAGAATGAAAATTTAATATGGACCCATTTTTCAGGAATGCCTTCTTCAAGAAGCTACACTTGAGATGGGATCAGTCTGGCACATTTTCCAAAATGCTGGACTTTTCAGTGGTGTCTTTGCCTTGTGCTGAAAAATGTAGGAATGCTACAGTGTAGTTGATGTTTACCCTATGTGAATCCATGATGAATTGTCATATTAAATAGCTCACACAAGTGGCTTTTCCTTTTGTGCAGCAGTTGTGGAAAGTCAGTTGTTATGGGGAAGTGAGGAAAAATCTTTTGGAGTGAGGTAGAATATTAATCTTATATTAATGCATGTGTTAAGCTCTCTCAGTCTATCTGTCTGTGTGCTGCTTGGAAACAGCATCCACATGACATGCTGCTTTGACTATTCCTTGTCTGTAACAAGTGGTAGATCATGATACAAAGTCTAAGAGTTTTAAATATGTGTGGGGTTGGATCTTGGATGTTGATCAAATAGTTGTTGACATTCTTCAACAGTTTCTTTGCCAATTTTAATAAATTCACTAATGCAACCATGAAAGTGAAATGTATAACAATAACACATACTTGGTATTTATGATATCTCCTCCAATATCAGTACACATTTTTGTAAGAAAACATGATGAACTAATGAGCATTAACATGGAAATCAGCTCTACTTTCTATACTGATATCAAGTTGTGTCACACTAGACTTCAGTATATGCAATTGTAGGTAAAGCTTATTCTCTGAAGTTTTTAAATCTTTTAGTATCCAAAAGAGACATCACATACTCACATTGCTTTGAATGAGCTATGAATAGAAAAGTGACTTCCTGATGCTCCCAATAATTATATACAATAATAGTATGTCTAATAATAGGGACTAAAAGAAAAATTGACCAACCTGGATCTCTCAAGAGCATTGGATTGTTCTATTCTTCTTTGCTCCTGGTCCTACTATTCTTATTATTATGCTACTATATTTATTTTCCTTGTTTTCCTCACAACACCATCCATCTTGCCTTCTGTCGTATTCACTTACTGTATATTATATTTTCAGAATAATGAAATCCAAGTCTACTTATTACAATTCTCATAGTAATCAACTAACACTTTCTATTGACAATCAATCTTTGAATTTCTTGTAGCTGCAAGACACTGTACAAAAAACTAAATAAGTACAAATCTCCTCATTAGAGGATGTGTATGACATAAACTATAACCTTAAAGGACTAACAAACAATAATATTGTTTTATTTATATTTAACATCTATCTATTTGTATGTATACACACATACATACAAGTTTGTCAACTTGGAATGAATGGAGTGAACTTGCAATGTAAAATGGATGGGTGATTTCATATCATCCTGAAAAAATATTTTCTGAAAATTGAATTCGTACAAATTATTACTTCAATCTGTTTTTATAATTAACTCTGAATTAGTAGTTTTTATTTATTTTTTATTTTATTTTATTGATGAGATGTAATCTTGATTACAATTGTTGAAATTAATACAATCATGATCATTATTTTTCATTTGAAATTTTTATTGGGAAAATTAAATTTAAATGGCTGTAATCTCTCTTATTTGTTAAAAAAAATATTTGTTTGAAATACTCTTTAGAGAGATTTTAGTTTTGAAAGTTAAATTCAGAGCTCAAAAGCATTTCAAAATATAAACCACTTGGTCAAATGGTAAAATCTGAGTAGCCAACAAATTTAAATCTGATTCTTTTAAACATAATATGACAAAAGTAATCAAAATATTACAACCAGAAGCTAAATTACAGTGACATTTAAGAGTACATTAATATTTTAATATGTTTTAACATTCCTTTTCTTCCCATATGATTCATGAAATTGATAGAGGAGAAAAAAAGGACAAGACAGTTTCAAGTTCAAAATATTTAAATTCAAATTTGTTAATGATATTTCAAGCAGAAGTGAAATCACATAGTGTATGACACTAATTAAAAAGAAGAATCCATAACTCAGATATTCAAATCAAAGGAGGGAAACATGATGACCTGGTTGGAAGTAGTCTCAAAATGATAAACCTCATGAAAGTATTACAAAGAGAAGCAATTATCCATATCAGACAAAGTATAAAGAACAATTCATTTGTAGAACCCAGTGTAGAGCAGCACAGAACAACCATGGAGATCCTTAGCTTCATACTTTTTTTTAGTGTCTCCTCTCCTTAAGAGCAAAGGATGGTTAAGGCATTGAATTAGGTTTGAGATTAGGTTTAAGATTAGGCATGGGATTAGGGTTGTGGCGACTCTTCTCTCCAATTTCTTCACAAGGACTTTGCTTTGGATTTTCTACTGCTTCCTGCTCTTCTGCCATTGCACCCCCACTATCTTGCTTGCCTGCCTGCCTGGCATTCATTTATGCAGCAGTCCTGTGGTTGTGACTATCCCTATGGACCTATATGGCATTTAATAATAACTAGTAAATGAAAAGGAAGAAGCAGATCAAAGAGTAGATCAACTACCAAGTCTTATGTCTAGACTCCACCAAACCTCATTTAATTCATCTAGATTCCATTGCAAAAAGACAACCCAAGTAACAAAAACACAACCTTTTGGTTTGTTTGTTTTCTTTTAATTTGAGTACTGTTAATGCTATCAATTTTTTTGTTATTATCAATACAATTTGCCATCCAAATGTTACTATAGTATTGCTACAATCACCATAATCAGTCACTCACATGACATAATTATTTAGTTTTTAATTTTAATTTTAATTTTTTTTTCTTATTCTAGTCAAAAAAGTTGTAAATTTTTGAGATATTCTTTCTTTTTCTTATTTTGAAATATAATTTAAGTAAAAAATGTTTTAAAATATAAAAAGAATATTTTAATTAAATTTTTAGTATAAAATTTCATTTTATTCCTAAAAAATACTAAACATGTAAGAATATATAAATATAATCATATTTCAGAAATTTAAAAAACATAAATTTTTTTAGTTCAATATTGACAAGGTGTGTAGGTAGATTGTGGTGACAATAAACAAAATTGTAATGGCATGTGGTTGATAGCAAATTGTGGTGGTAATAGAAAAAACTTTGGTAGAAATTATAATAAATTTTACTTTATATTTGTATTTATATTTTAATAAATATAAGAAAAAAGCATTTGAAGAGGATCACTTTAAAAGGTCATGGTTTAAAAGTCTTGCCAAAGTTCCATGCTTAATAAAGAAAAGGCTTTATTTGAAATTTTTGATTTTTGGATATTGTATAAAGTGAAAATAGGTATTTCAATAGACCAAATCATTCTTTTATTAAAAACCTAAATATATTCTAACAAATTTGAGAATTATTTGTGTGTTTGTGTATATATATATATATATATATATATATATATATATATTTATATATAAATATTTTTAAATAATAATTTGAAGCATTTTTTGACATAACTTTTAAAATTTTTTTAAAAAAACCACCTCTTTAGATCAAGCCAATGAAAATTTTAAGAAACAATATTATTTACATTATGTAAAAAGAAAAAAATTCATTGTATCTCATTTTTTCTTCTATTAGGGCATTTAAATTTATTTTTGTGAATAAGAGGCCAATTTAAAGAAGCTTCTTGATTTCTACCAATTAAAATGTTTCAAAGTTATGACCTCTTATCTTCTTCATTATATATATATATCTTCTTTTTGAATATTTATATTTAAGAAGATTATACTTTAATTTAATTACTTAAATTTATAACTCTTTTGAAATAATTTATGTTTAAGAAAAATATACGAAGCTACACTCTTTACATTTTTAATTGTGTAAATTTATGAAGCTTCCTTGAATTGACTTTACACTAAGAAAAACAAGTTAAAAAATCTAAAAAAAAAGATGACGAAAATTTCATTATTTTTTATATAGCATGAATAGTATTGTTTCTAATTTATTTTGTTTTGTTCATGTTGAAAGAAATAGTTTTTAAAATCAAAATAAGAAATTGTGTTAAAAAATGCTTTAAATAATAATTAAAAAATCAGGTCATTATATGCTTTTCATAATTATTAGAATAAAAAAATGATTATATATATCTATATATATATATATATATAAATTTAAAAAATAATTTGATTTATTTTATGTCATTTTTTCACTTTATACTACATTTGAAGACCAAATCTTCTAAAAGAAGGTTTTACTTTATCAAATAAAAGACCTTGGCAA